TGATGGACTCAGGTGTGGCAGCGGTAGTGAGGTTGGCCCAGGATCGAACATTGTTTCGTTCTGCTGTGCATGGGGTTGCTATGAGTCGGTTCCGACTCGATGGCACCTGACAACAACAACAACAACATAGTGTTGACTGTGGAACACTGAAGAAAAAGCAGTAACTAGAGCCACATTTGGGAATTTATTTAAAATTGCTAATAAGGTGTTATATGTAAATTCTGGATTCAAAATAGAGAGTTGTTGGTGCCACAGGGTTGACATTGACTCATAGTAACCCTATGAAGAAGATTACAAAACATTGCCTGGTCCTGTGCCAATCTCACAGTCGTTGCTACACATGAGCCCCATTGCTGCTGCCACTGTGCCAGTCCATCTGGTTGGGGGTCTTTCTCTTTCTCCAGCCCCCCACTTTACCAAACGTGATGTCCTTCCTCAGAGACTGGTCCCTCCCGACAATATGTTTGGGTAGAAGAGATGAAGTCTGGGCATCCTGGCTTCCAAGGAGCTGTCTAGCTGTACTTATTCCAACACAGATGTGTTTGTTCTTTTGGCAGTCCATGGTACCTTCAATACTCTCCTCCAACAACAAAGCTCAAATTCACCAGTTCTACTATGGTCTTCCATATTCACTGTTGAGCTTCACATGCATATGAGACTCTTAAAAATACCACGATTGGGTCAAGCTCACCTTTGTCCTCAAACTGACAACTTTGCCCTTGAACATTTTAAAGAAGTCTGATTTCTTGACTGCTGCTTCCATGAGTGTTGATGTTGATCCAAGAAAATGAGATCTTTGACAACTTCAGTCTTTTCTTCATGTTTTGATGATTGGTCCAATTGTGAGGATTTTTGTTTTCGTTATATTAAAATGCAACCCATACCGAAGGTTGTGGTCTTTGATCTTCATCAGTAAGTACTTCAAGTCCTCTTCATTTTCAGTAAGCAAGGTTGTATCATCTGCATATCACAGGTTGTTAATTAGTCTTCCTCCAATCCTCATGCCATGTTTTTCTTCATATAATTCAACTTCTGGAATTATTTGCTCACCATATACATTGAATAACTATGGTGAAAGAATACAGCCCTGGTGCACACCATAACTAATTTTAAACCATTTGGTGTTTGTTCCCTTGTTCTTTGCCAATGCCTCGGTCTCTGTACAGGTTCCTCATGAGCACAAGTAAGTGTTTCAGAATATTCATACTTCACAATGTTTATAGTTTGTCATAACCCACACAATCTATGCCTTTGCATAGTTAATAATGCACAGATAAACATCTTTGGGGTTTTCACTGCTTTCACCCAAGGTCCATCTGATGTCAGCAATGATATCCCTCGTTCCACGGCCTCTTCTGAATCCTGCTTGAACCACCTCTGGAAGTTCTCTGTCACTGTATGCCTGCATCCATTTTGTATTATCTTCCGTTAAACTTGACTCACATGGGATATCAGGGCTATCATTGATACTGTCTGATGATTTCCGCATTCCGTTGCGTACCTCTCTTTGTTGTTGTTAACTGCCGTCGAGTTGTTTCCGAGCCATAGCAACCCTATATAGGATTTCTAAGGAGCAGCTGGTGAGCTTGAACCACCAACCTTGTGGTTCAAACAACTTTGCAGTCCAGTGCATTAGTCCACAGCACCACACCAGGACCTCTCTTTGGAACAGGCAAAATACAGATCTTGTCCAGTCAGTTGGCCAGGTAATTGTCTTCCACATTTCTTGGTACAGGTGAGTGAGTGCCGCCAGTACTGCATCACATTGTTGAAAGATTTCAATTTGTATTCCTGGTGCCTTGTGCATTGCCAATGCCTTCAGTGTACCCTGGACTTTTTCCTTCAGGATCATTGGTTATTAATCATACACTACCTCTTAAAGGAGCTCTGGTAGCATAGTGGTTATGAATCGGGCTTTGAACCGCAAGGTCAGCAGTTCGAAACTACCAGCTGCTCTGTGGGAGAAAGATGAGGCGTTCTGCTCTCGTAAAGATTTACGACCTCGGAAACCCTGTACGGGGTCTCTATGAGTCGGAACTGATTCCATGGCACACAGCAGCCACCACCACAACCACCTCTTGAAATGGTTGAGCATTGACCATTTCTTGTTGGTACAGTGACTCTTGTGTTTTTCTTCCATGCTGTTTTGATGCTTTCTGCATCATTCAGTATATTCTGCCCAGATAATCCTTCAGTGTACCACAAGTCGAGGCTTGATTTTTTTCTTCAGGTCCCTTGGCTTGAGAAATGCTGAGTGTGTTCTTCCCTTTTGGTTTTCTAACTCCAAGTTTTTGCAAAATTCATTAAAATATTTGTGTCTTCTCAAGCTGCCTTTTGAAAATTTCTGTTCAGCTCTTGTACCTCCACAACATCTTCCATTTGCTTTAGCATCTCTATACTGGAGAGCAAGTTTCAGAGTCTCTTCTGACATCCATTTTGACCTTTTCCTTCTTTGTCTTCTTGTGGCCTTTTGTTTTCTTCCTGTTTTATGTTCTTGTTGTCATCCACAACTCTTCTGGTCTTCTGTGTTTAGTGTCTCGTGCATCAAATCTGTTCTTGAGATGATCTCTAAATCCAGGTGGGCTATATCCAAGGTCTTATTTTTGGCTCTTGTGGACTTATTTTAGTTTTTCTCAGCCTGAACTTGTATAGGAACAATTGATGGTCTCTGTTCCACAATCTGCCCCTGCCTTTGTGTTGGCTGATGATACTGAACTTTTCCACTGGTTCTCGGCACAGTTGTAGTCAGTTTGATTTCTGTATATTCCATCTGGTGAGGTCCATGTGTCTTTTATGTTGTTTAAAAAAGGTATTTACAATGAAGAAGTCATTGATTTTGCAAAATTCTGTCATGTGATCTCCATGATAGAATTTCTGTTGTTTCTATCACCAAGGCCCTATTTTCCAATCACTGATTCTTCCTCTTTATTTCTAACCTTTGCATTTCAATCACCAGTAATTATCATGTTTGTTCAATCACAGACTGAAGAACAACTTCATTATTGTCTTTAATGGTTTGTGCATAAATTTGAATAATAGTATTAACTGGTCTTGTTGTAGGCGTATGGATATTATCCTAACACAGACAGCGTTATGCTTCAGAACAGATCTCGATAGGTTCTTTTTGATGATGACTGTGACGCCATTCCTCTTCAGTTTGTTATTCCTGGCATACATAATAAGCCATGGGCATGTCAGATTCACAATGGCCAATACCAATCCATTTCAGCTCACCACTGCCTAGGATACCGATGTTTATGTGTTCCAGTTCATTTTTGACAACTTCCAATTTTCCTCGATTCACACTTTGTACATTCCATGTTCCGATTATTAATGAATGTTTACAGCTGTTTCTCTTCATTTTGAGTTATGCCCCATCAGCAAATGAAGGTCCTTTTGCACCATCAAGGTCAATTCTACTTTGAGGAGGAAGCTCTCCCCTATCGCAGTTTGAATGCCTTCTAATGTGAAGAGCTCGTCTTCCAGCAATGTATGTGACATCCTCTGGTCCTGACAGCGTTCCACTGCTATTCATGAGGTTTTCAGTGACTAAATATTCAGAAGTAGTCCATCTCTCCTTCTTCCTAGTCCATGTTCATCTGGAAGCTCAGCTGACTCCTGTCTGCCGTGGGTGACTCTGCGGGTATCACAGTGCCTGTGGCATAGCTTCCTGAATCACAGCAACACACACGCCACCATAGTAGGACACCCTCACGGACGAGTGGTGGAAATAGTAATATCATCAATTTCTCTGCACTCCTTATCCAGATTCTCCTGTAGTCAGCATTTAGATAATAGTGATAAATACACAGTCCCTATTAAACACCCTGAGGTTCCCCAAACTGTCCTATATGGTTAGAACATTGGGACCCGGATCCAGCCAGGTTTCATGGTCAGTGCAGCCTTTGCGCTGTGCTGCCAGTGACCTGTGGAGCATGAAGACACGGAGCTGTCATGAAGTAGACTTGGTTCCGTGTGTTGAAGTCTGTGTCACAGAGCAGCATTCCCGTCATTGTGGTCTCAGGACTCTGTGCTGAAGCTTTGAGGACCCCAGGCATTGAGATCTTGGCAAGCTGCACATATGGAAGCCCACCCTGACTCAGTATGTGTCCTGGTGGTGTCCTGGTGTGTGTCCCCTGAGACTGCAGTTTCAGAGTTCGTTAAAGTATCCATGAGAGGTGTGTGTTTTCCGTGCCTGCCCCTCAGCAGAGTGACCCGTGTGTAGTGGTGGTGTCGGAAATGTCTTTCGGGGAATCTGAGTCGTCATTAATTCAGTGCGTCTCTCTTTTTTTCTTTAGGAAAATGAGCACTTGAAAAAGTTCCAGGTGACCTGGGAGTTGCATAATAAGCACCTGTTTGAGAACCTGGTTTTTTCTGAGCCGTTGCTGCAGAGCAACCTGCCAACGCTGCTGTCGCAGATCAGGTACGAGCTCCTCCCACCGTGCGTCCCACGTGGTCACTGCGTGCCGCGGCCTCAGCATGCAGCATTCATGTTTGTGAGCGTGTCCGCAATGTGGGCTTCCGGAAGACATCTGTGTGGGCAGAAAGAGGAAAACCTGAAGCATCATACAAGTGAACTTCCTCTCCCTGTCTTCTTTTTTTTTAATTTAATTTTGGTGTAATTTGACTATTTTGGCTGTTTCCACATATGTAACTCAGTCGTATTGAGCTTGCCTTTTCTGACGTGTTCTCCTCCATCCGTAGCAGCCCACTAGCTCCCTGAGCTCCCGCTCAAGTGCTCTGCTCCCTTGTATGCTGCTCCCCACAGGCGTTCTTTACCAGTTAAGCTGGACCATTGTTTGGTTTTAAGGCAACTCCAAGGGTTATTTTGGTGTGAAGTTTAAGAATTAGCTCAGGGCAATAGTTTCAGGGGTTCATCCAGCCTCCATGCCTACAGAAAGTCTGGAGTCCGTGAGAAGTTGCAATTTTCTTTTGTATTTTTCCCTTTTGATGAGGATTCTTTTATGAGCTCTGTGATGAACATGTTCATGAATAGTAGCTGGACACCATCCAGTCTGGTCTGATGGCAAAGGAGGTATTTGTTCATGGAGACAACTAGCCACAAATTATCTTCCTCTTATTCCTAACTCTCCTTTGTTTTGTTTTTCTTGGTGGTTAGAAACCAACTGTTGGGCCTTGGGTGACCGCTTGCGAAACCCCAGGTAGACTAGAAGCACTGTTTTAAGTGGTGAAGCCATGACCCTTAGCCTCCAAACTCAGGAGTCCAGTCCCATGAGGCGTGTTGTTACGCTTACCCATGCATTTCTGTATTGTCTTACTACTCACCTGTGCATTGCCATCTTTGTTTTTGCTGGGTGTGCCTTTTCCCTCCCGTCTTCAATGAGAGAGCCCTGGCCGGTTTTCCTGCAGAGTCCCACAGTCTGGGTGACATCCACAGTGCAGCCCAGCACATCCTTCTGTGCTGTTTGCAGATTGGCAACAGTGTCCTTGGACTCCACCAGACTTGACTTCTATCCCTTGGGCCAGACTCTGGGCATGGGAGTGTGTTTATTCATAAAGAGTTGTGTGCACGTGCCACCTTGTAGGCCGTCTGCAGTCCCCACGCTGCTATGCAGTCCCCACGCCGCTGGGATGACTGTCCACCCTGTGGCTGGTGGCAGTCTCTAGGTGTGATGTACATGCATGCACAGTCCTGTCAGACTCTCGGTGTTGGCAGTAGTGGACGAATGCAACAGGAGAGCTGTCCTGGCAGAGATGGGAAACTCCTCAAAAGGGGTCTTCCTGTCCGCCTGTCCTTCCTTCCCACCAGCTGAGGTGGGCTTTCTTCGTGTGTTTTTTCCACCTAACACCATACCTGAGGGGGCAAAACATCCCTTCACAGCTTGTGTGCCTTGTTCCACTATTGTCTGACCACTTGAGGGGCTGGAGAAGGCCAGACGTCTTGGTGCTTCACCTGCTGACATTTAAAGAGATCATCTGGCCTAAGAGGGATTGGCTGTCTGCCTCTCAGAGGAGACGCACTGGGGCTGCTGATTTGCTGGCTTGGATGTAAGTAGTTCTTGCTCTGTTTGGTCTGTAGTTTAAATAAATATATAGAGAGCATTAGTGATTAGGGAAAATTTGGATTGACTTGTAAGGAGATTTACCCAAGCTGAATTGTAATTAACTCTCGTTCTCGCTTTGAAGAGTGGAGGGTCAGTGACACACAGCAGTCCCCGCAACAAAGCAATTGACACAGTGGCTGCAACTGCACACTAGGACGCAGTCCTACCTGTGAGGATGGTGCCAGACGGGCGCAGTGTCTCTTTGTTGTGCGTAGGGTTGCTGGGTACTGGGAACGCTGCTTTTCACCTGCCTGGTCTGCAGTAGACACTGCGGAGACTGGTGCTGAACCGTGGACCACCTTGAGCCCTGTGAACCTTCTCTGAGTCTTACCCGGTCCCCTTTCTGGATTCCAGCTTGTGTTTGTCTGGAATATAAGGCTCTGCCCAAAGTGCCTGCTTGTGCCTCCATTCACTCACAATGTAATTTCTACGCTGTAACGTGGGAGAGAGCAGCTCTTCCATCTGCTAGGGGAGGAACGAACACAGCTGCGTGCACCCCAGCTATGCCGCACGTTGTTCCAGCCTCCAGCAAGGCAGAGTGAATTACAGGAGAGGGATCTGTGGATTAAAGGAGATGTCCTCTGAGCAGGAGAGGAGGGCAGTATGGATTACAGGGAACCTAGCCTTGGTACCAAGAAGTATCTTTCTCTGGGCAGAAAAAGAGAGTGGCGTGGATTATAGAGGACCCAGTGTTGACACCAAGAAGGAACTTCAGTGGTGGCTGGAGTGGACTCTGCTGCTCCGGAGCCCACACCTGCCCACCCGCCTCTTATCAGCCCCAGCTCACCTCTGTTACAAGGAACCTGTTGATCATTATGAAATCCTAGACACATGGTCTCCCCACTGTTGGCACTCCTGTTTGCAGTGTTGTGATGAAATTGTAGATCCCAGTGAATGACAAGGGGTGTGTTGTGGACGCCCAATCCCAAACACTTGACTGTGTGGTTCTGCGATGGTGTCCAGCTCATTAGCCTTGACCCTCAACACCACAGATCTAGCCTCGCAGAAACCTGCACGTTCCTTTCGGGCTGTGAACACAATTGAAGCAGATTACAAATGGAAACAAGAGAAGGGCAAGGTGGGGAAGAGATGAGCCCTTGGCAGAGCCACCCACAGGTCCCATCGGCTGTGCCCCACCTCCTGTGTAGTCCTCTCAGGTGTTCAAAAGCTCCTGTCACTGCAGGAAAAGAGCCAAGTGATATGTACACTATCACCTGTGGCTCCAATGCAAATGAAACACACTGACAACAAGGGACAGCCTCCAGGCAGGACATGAGGGCAGCCTGGATTTGGCAATAAGCCAGAGCGTAGTAATGTGAAGTGAGGTGAGGTGAGAGACAGCAGGAGTGGGGGACACCCCACCCCACCCCAACTTCACAAACTGTGATGAGGTGAAGACTACTTCCCCAGGAATGTGGTCAGTCTTGGGGCTCAGGTCCTACTCTGCACTTTGAGACCCAGGAGAAGCATGAGGTGGCCCTGGAGTGTGCTCTCACCTGGAAAGCTGAACAGCCGTAGGAGGAGAGCCGTGATGGGCTCAGTGGTTTCCATCATGGAGTGAGGTCGGCGGCAGCGTCTTTTTATTTTCCGGGCTTCCTCAGACCACGGTTCAATTCCATCTGCCTTCTGCTTGTCCTACTTTAGAGGGAGCATGTGTAGGGACAGCTTCCAAAGCCAAGGGTTTGCTTCTGCTCCGTTAGTGCCCCTTAGGAGCAGCGGGGACGGGGTGGGTGGCTATCTGCCCATCAGAATGGTTGCTTGAGAACCACTGTTGAGTTTGGGGGTGTGTGTAATCTCATAGAGTTTGTTGTTGTTCAGAGTACACACAGCAGGACTTGTACCAATTCCATTGTTTCTACATGGCATTTTTTCCGTTCATCAGTGTCTAACCCTTCTATGCTTCTTCTCTGAGCTGTTCCTCACTATGAAATAGCCCTGCAACATGCATTTCTGATGGCTAAATTTTATTACATTGACTTTGCAAATAACATTCTAGAAGTCATGGGAAAATGGAGCTATGTACTGGACCCATAAGCAAACATGATGATGAGCAGAGAAGACACTGACGTTGTCACAGAGTACATTTACTTGGAGTCACAATTGGCACACACGGAAGCAGCAGTCAGGAATAAGTGATGGATGGCATTGGGCAAATGTGCGGCACAAGACCTCGTTGAAATGCTCAAGAGCAAAGGTGTCAGTTTGAGCACTAAGGTGCACCTGACCCAGTCACCTCACATGCATGCTCCACACAAGTATGAATACTCATACTTTGCAATGTCCATAGCTTGTCACGTTCCACACAATCGAAAGCCTTTTTAGTCCATAAAGCACAAGTAAACACTTAATTGTGCTCATAAGGTATCTGTACGTGGCAGTTGTTCAAACAGAACATGGAAACACTGGCTGGTTTAAAAATCAAGAAAGATGTGTGACAGGGCTGTATTCTTTCACCATACTCATTCAACCAGTATGCTGAGCAAATCATCTGAGAAGCTGGATTAGCAAAATGTGGCATCAGGATTGGAGGAAGGCTCATTAACAACCTGCAATATGCAGATGATACAACCTTGCTTACTGAAAGTGAAGAGGACTTAAAACATTTACTGATGAAGATCAAAGACCACAGCCTTTGATAGGGATTCCATCTCAACGTAAAGAAAACAAAAATCCTCACCACTGGACCAGTAAACAACATTCTTATCAATGGAGAAAAGGTTGATGTTGTCAAGGACTTCATTCTTCTTGGATCAGGACTTTTTAAAGTGTTAAAGAGCAAAGATGTCAGCTTGAGGACTAAGGTGTGCCAGACCCAAGCCATGGTATTTTGAGTAGCCTCATATGGATGCAAAAGCTGGACAGTGAGTAAGGAAGACTGTAGAAGAATTGATGTATTTGAGTTATGGTGTTGAAGGAGAATATTGAAAGTGTTATGGGCTGCCAAAAGAACCAACAGATCTGTGTTGGGAGAAGTGCAGCCAGAGTGCTCCTTGGAGGCCACCATGGCCAAATTTAGTATCTCATACTACGGACCAATTGTCAGGAGGGACTGACCGCTGGAGAAGGTGGTAAGGTGGAGGGTCAGAGAAAAACCCCAGTGAGAGATGCATTGGCAAAGTGGCAGCATCATTGAACTCAAGCATGGTAACACTTGTTTGGTTGGCCCAGGACTGGGCAGTGTTTCATTCTGTGCATAGGGTCTCTATGAGTCGGTACTTGATGGCACCTAACAACAACAACATGGGCATGTGAAAGCGGGACAGTGAAGAAGGAATACTGAAAATGGATTGTTGTATTTGAGTTAGGATATTGGCAAAGAATATTGACTAGGCCGTGGACTGCCAGAAGAACAAACAAATCAGGCGAATGTTCCTTAGAGGCGCGGATGGCGGCGAGTCTCCGTTTCACTTAACTTTGGACATGTTCTCAGGTGTTAATAGTCCCTGGTACATTATGGGATCAACCTCAAAGAGAATGACCCTCAACACGACAGACTGATGCATTGGCTGTGAAAACGGGCTCAAACATAGGAACAGTTTTGGAAATGGCACAGCATCAGGCAAGCAGTGCTTTGTTCTGAATTGGACCAGACTCGACGGCACCAAACAACTCGGTATTTCTTCTAGACTTTCGTTTTCCTCATACATACACACTCCTACAGTTGTGTCTGCACTCAGCATGCGCTGCCTTCCTTTTCACAACCTGTAGACATGGGTGTGTGCAGCTGTGTGGGGACAGACGCATCTGTGGCTTTGGTGGTGTATCCACAGCACTCCTTTGTCCCGGTGCCCTGTGGGCCATGTGTGGCTCCCTGGGAGAGACTAGTTTTATTTCAAGAACACTGATGTGGCCGCTGCACAGATGCTCTGTGATCACAAATGTTGTCTTCGCTTTGGAAAAACCCTTGTCAAGGTGTCAGATTCCCCCATTTGGGTTCAAGCACTGCTATGCTGAGATCTGAGGAGAACGCATGTTTTTCTCATGGGTGAAATACATGTCTCCCCCTTCCTATGCCCATCCTGTCTCCTCTCAACCACCTTCTTTTTCAGTTATCAGAGTGGATTTCCTCATGGGCACCTAAGAGTGTCGTTTGTTTCATGTGTACATGTTCATTTCTCATCCTATTTCATTCCTAACGACAGATAATAGACAGTAAGTAAGGTCATCAGATGTCTTCCTCAGAATTGGAACTTTCTGTTTCACTAAATTTAAAAAACAGACCCACACTTTATCTTCCTCACATAAAGATGTGTTCTTCTCTCTGGGTTGGTGCATTTCAGTCAGGACAGCTCGTTCACAGTCCACATTCAGTGACCTCAGTCACTTGGCCACTGTCTTTCCATGTCACTGGTGGTTCCCCTAGGGGACGCTCACTGCTGTCCTTGATGTACCATGCTGTCCATTCCGGTGGAACAGTGAGGGTAATCACAGGGCACGCAGGGACAGGAGCGACCCTGAACACAGAGCATGGAGCTCCGTTCCTCTCTTAGAGATCATGCCTCCCGCAGGCTGGGTACCACCACGCATGATACCTGTAACGAGGACACATACAGCACATTGCTGCAGCGCTACCACTGCTCGGAGGAGGAGCTGCGCCGCGTGGCCGATGAGTGGCTGGAGTGTCAGAAGAGGATTGATGACTACGTGGACGAGCAGGTGAGTTGGCACATGGCTCCCGCGGTTCACCTGTCTGTCCATGGAAAGAGAGGGGTGGTGAAGGACTGCTGGCAGAGGCCTGTGTGCCAGCCAGTGCCCTGTCCGCAGCCAGGAATAGACCTGGTGAGGTGTGTGTGCTCAGGGCAGTGGCAGCGGTTGGTCAAGTGCTTTTGTCTGCCCAGGTGTCCCATCTCCTGTACACAGTCCATTCAAGCTGTGGGTCTGAGAGCCTGGGGAGAGCTGACACTTGTGATTCTGTAGAGTCTGGGATTGAGAGGAACAGAGGCAGGACGGGGGATGGTTACAGATGGGTTCTGAGAGAGGTGTTGCATATCTTCAGAAGCAGCAACCACACACAAGAGCCTGAGGAAGGAATGCATGATGTGCCTCAGTACCCACCATGCTACCCGTGTGGACCTCAGAGGTCCTGGTGTGAGCCCTCACAGCGCTGCCCACCTGGGCCTTAGAGGTCCTGGTATGAGCCCTCACAGTGCTGCCCACCTGAACCTTAGAGGTCCTGGTGTGAGCCCTCACAGCGCTGCCCACCTGGGCCTTAGAGGTCCTGGTGTGACTCCTCACAGCGCTGCCCGCCTGAACCTTAGAGGTCCTGGTGTGAGCCCTCACAGCGCTGCCCACCTGGGCCTTAGAGGTCCTGGTATGAGCCCTCACAGCGCTGCCAGCTTGTGAAGAAACCATGTAAGAAACATGCTTGTGGTGGCTTGAGTAAGTTGAGGAGACTGTGAAATGAAATGCCAGGGAGCTTACTTGTCCTGTTCCTCTTTCATTCTGTCTATGTGGGATGGTTCTTGTGCATATTATCTGACAAACTCTTTCCCTTGAAGATATTCCATGTAGATCTTGCTGGTGCTAAATTTGTTTTTTTTTTTTTTTTGTCGTACCCTGATTAGATGACTATGAAAACTAAACAGCGCATGCTATCAGAAGACTGGGAACTTTTTAAACAAAGGCGATTCACTGAAGAGCAGGTGAGGCTGCAGAGAGGAGGTGGGCAAAAGGCTGGGGGCGAAGTGGATAGTGTCTGTAACTTGTGGACGTGGTCTGCGGGCACAGACTAACATTCGGAGACCGTAGGGCATGGGCAGGTCCTGCTCAGACCTCAGGGTCTCACCGACTCATCTGCTTCCTTTGGCTCCATGTGGTACTCATGGGTAACCGTGTTTGTTGAGCATCTTGTGACCCATCAGGCTGCTGACTCCTACTCGGCCTCTCCGACCTGCCTCTGTCCCGTGTCTGTCTGCAGTGCTCTGTCCTGCCTCACTGTACTCTCAGGTTCAGCCTGGGGCCAGTGTTGTAGGAGTCTGTGGGTGTGTGCCTGACCCGGGGCTCTTCCCTGGTCTGGATGCTCCCTTTGCATCAGACTGAACTCCCAACTTCAACTCCTTCTCTACCATGGGCTCCGGCCTCCCAGCCCCTACCTCACAGAGCCTCCATGGCCCTGAGAAGGGTCTCCACCACAGCGCTCTTCATCCTCCCCTTCTTTCCGTCTCTCTACTAGATCATAGGCTCCTTGCCTGCAGTCACTGCCCTCAGACCTCTGTTCTCCTTACTAGCACTTGCAGACATGGGGTACATGCTCGGTGTCTGCTGCAGCCCAGTGACATGAGGTCACGTGCCTTTAGGAGGTCAACGTGGTAGCCCCAAAGACCACTGTTTTCTTGATGGACATGACATACTGTTGCTAAGTGCTATGGAGTTGGTGCTAACTCACAGCGACCCTGTAGAATTTCCCAGGCTGTGAATCTTTGTGGAAGCAGAAAGCCTCGTCTTTCTCCTAGAGCGGCGGGTGGGTACAAACCACTGACCTTGTGGTTCACAGTCCAGCATTTACCCTACAGAGCCATCACGCTCCCACATGACATACTAGGGGGCTTTTAAAAGTTTGGGCATTTTAATTTCACTTTTCTACCAATTTTCTGAAGTCTCCATAGTTACTGACCAACACAAACCACATCATAGAGGGGAATGCTTTACCAAAGTGTTGTTGCTGTTGGAGGCCACCACCGAGCAGGCTCAGATTCATAGTGACCGTGTGTCCGGCTGCCCGGTACTTCGCTCAGATTCATAGTGACCGTGTGTCCAGCTGCCCAGTACTTCGCTCTTGGTCATTCTTGTTTGTGTTGGTTGTTGCTGTGGCTACATCACTCCTTCTCAGGGAGGGACCTCCTCGTGTTCGCTGACACTCATCCAACCAAGCATGGTGTCCTTCTCCAGAGACGAGCCTCTTCTGATCACCCCTGTTAATCCCTCCTGCCAGGGTCTCCCTCTGTTTCCCTGAGTCTCTACTTTACCAGGCATGGTGGTGTTCTCCAGGGACTGCACCCCCTGACAATATGCCCGAGTAGGTGAGACTGCGTCGCGCCATCGCGGCTCCTTAGACGCGTGTTTTATGATTCCCTCCAGCTGACTCACAAGCGCACAGTAGCTGGTGAGGACCACTTCACAGACACCATGAGGCACATGCTGTCGTCACGGCTGAGCCTGCCTGACTGTCCCAACTGCAACTACAGGAGAAGGTGAGCCCTGCAGGCAGTAGCGAGCACAGGCCACCCACGCCCCGGGGGTGGCCCTCCCAGTAACTGCCCTCCCTTCTCTCAGGTGTGCTTGTGATGACTGCAGTCTGTCCCACATCCTCACTTGTGGGATCATGGACACTCCCGTCCCCGACGACATCCACATCCACCAGCTGCCTCTCCAGATGGACTCCGCTCCCGACTATCTTTCGGAGATGCGGCCGCCTAGTGTGTCCTCAGCAAGCTCAGGCTCAGGCTCCAGCTCGCCCGTTCCAGTCCAGCAACATCCCAGACTCATCCTCACAGACAACGGCTCTGCAACAGCTTTGTAAGTTGTGACCTTGTCCTGGCATTGCCGAAATTTAATTCAGTCAGGAGAAAGAGAGCTGGTAATGGCCACAGCACTGTGGCCACTGGGACAGTGCTTTTAGTGACACACGAAGTCAGTAAGCCCAAACTGTGACACCGTTTCATTACCTGAGGGGAAATATACGGTAAATTAATAAATGCAAGGAATGGACAAAGAACCACCACCGCATTGGTATGCAGGGAAGTGTCTATCCAAATACGGTTTTCCATTTTCTCCTTTGATTTGAGTGCAGCAAGTCTGCTGTTTTATACCCTGTCTCGTTGTTGACTCGGTTTCCATGCTTGCTCCATGTCCCACTACACATTTGGGTTCCAGTCACGTTGGCACGTGGCCTACAAGGTTCTGTCTGCAGGGTTTTCCATTAGTGAGGGGCTGTCACTGGTGCATACTGCCGGGGTGGGATCCCTCATTTTCTCAGAGTTGCAACCCTATCTGTTGAGGTGTCTGACACACTCTAGCTTCTGGAAGGACAACGAAGGCTCTAGGTGTTGGTGCACCTTGAGCCTGAGGCGCTAACTGGGCTCTGCCCTGGTCCCCGAAGTGATCATCCAATCTAGGCATATTGGTTCTCCTCACAGCTTCCTGCCAGAGCCAGCTTGGTTCATCACCCCTCCTGGCTTCCTCTGGCAACGCTGAAGTTGCCCTTCAGTTTCTTTCTGTTTTCAGTTTGGACTCCTTCTTTAGTCACAGACCAATTCCAGACAAACAGGTCTGAGTATGAATGTTATGACGCTGTCTGTCAAAGGAGCTCTCGCTGTTTGAGCCGTAGAAACCCCGTGCCCTCTGGGAGCCTGGGAGTTGTAGCACAGATGGTCCTAAAAACATACAGAAAGTAAACATTTGCATCTACTCTAACCCCACCCACTCAACATAGCTGCTGAGATTGGCTTAGAAACTCCCAGACTGTGCTCAGTGGTGTGGGCCTCGGGTGGTGGGCTCCCCAGAGCTGAGTGCTCGTGCAGGGCCGGGGCAGTAGACTGAAGTTAGGACATTGCTCGTAAACCCTTCAGTGACTAGAGCTGCCGTGATCTCTTAGGAACTGTCCCTCAGTGCTCCCTTGAGTGTTGGGTCTGCTGTTGAGCAAGCTTGACTTCATCACTGGGTAGTTACGTGCGTTTCTGAGCCTCAGCAGTGGGCGTATGCAGATAACAAGCCCTCCGCAAACCTGAGCCCTGCCCAGGCAGGCCGCCATTTGTCCTTGGCTTTGAGCTCTGGATTCCTAGTTGACTCAAAGTCTCCTGGACACATTGCCTACAGAGATGAGGGCACCAGTCCACTGGCTTTTCCATACTCTGGACTGAGGGCCGTCTGTTCACTGCCAGCTCTTTTCCACAGACCACAAAAGCCTACATTTTAAGGAGCCTTCTAGAGAAAAAAGGAGCCCTGATTATCCTGTGGGTTGGGTGTTGGACTACTAACCACAAGGTCAGGGATTCAAACCCACGTGCCGCTCCACAAGACAAAGGCAAGGCTGCCTGCAGCCATCGATGTGCAGACTCAGAAACCCTAAGGAGCAGTACTGCTCTCCTCTACAGGGTCCCTGGGAGTCGGAACCCACTGGGTGGTTCTAGAGAACAAAGCCTTGACCTTTGTCTAAAGTTTAGTTTGTTTTTCTTTAGTAAATACAATAAAACCTGTGAAAGCCAGACCCTGTGTAAGGTAGAAACCTGCCAGAGAAGGAAACTGCAAATATTTTCCACAGAACGGAGTGGAGGAGAGTGGTAAGGGTGCTCCCTCCCGAAGGTGGGCTACTTGGGAGACAAGGTATTCCCACCACGTTCTGGCTCTCACAGGTTTGCTGTATTCCCTTTCCTCACTGCTTCCTGCCTGCCTGCCCGCCTTGACCAGCGCTGGCCTGGTGGTAAAAGAGCTCTACTATTTTGTCCCTGAATGCCTTTAAAGCTGTGTTCAGCTGGCTGTTTATGAAGTCTTTTTTGGTGGTTGCCTTTGTTTTTCATCAGAATCGAATCCTGTCTGCTTTGGGGTGGCAGAAGAAGGTAGTGTTGGTGTCCCAGCACCTTCCAGATGCAGTGTTCAGTGGAGATGGAGTATCAGTTCATAGGACCTCATGGTATTTTACTGTGAGGGCTGCTTTGTCCAGGCCAGCGCTCCAGCTCTTCTCCTGGTGCTGCAGTTACTAAGCAACGTTGTGGGGTCTGAGTGACACCTGTCACTCAGTGAGTGACAAGTACTCTTAGTGAGCGGTGTCTGTTGGCGGCCTCATGGTGACTCTCTGCTTGGTCTCAGTTGCAGTGATGATGAAGATGGTGCACCGTTATCAGCTAAGTTTGCTGGTATTTACCCATTGAGTAATTATGATGACACCGAGGTAGTGGCCAACATGAATGGAATCCACAGTGAATTAAATGGCGGCGGGGAAAACATGGCCCTGAAAGATGAGGTACGGACTTGCCCTTCTCTGTAGCTGCCGTGAGTGGCAGCAAGTGTCAGTGTGATGTGGTAGCGTTTCTTGCGAAGCATAACTCAGAAAAGGTTGTTTTCAAAGTCCCCCCAGGTAAGCAGTACCAGTAGTAGCTCTTCCGAAGCTGACGATGAAGAAGCAGATGGCGAGAGTAGCGGGGAGCCTCCAGGAGCCCCAAAGGAAGACCTAGCTCTAGGAAACGGGAGCCTCATGAAAGAAGACAGCAAAGTAGACAGTCCGCCCCCGTCTTACCCGACTCAGCAGGTATGGCTTCATTGTTTTCCTCCTTCTCTTCTGCCAAGGGTCTACTGCTCTGTGTTTATTTTCTGTAAACTTAAATGATGGTAACACAAAACCACTGTTTACAATCATTTCTGAAGGTCAGATACACTTCTGAAAGGAACAGCTATGACTCCTGTCCCCAAAAGAATCTCTTCCCCTTGAACAGCTATGACTCCTGTCCCCAATAGAATCTCTTTTCCCCTTGAACAGCTATGACTCCTGTCCCCAATAGAATCTCTTTTTCTCTAGCTTAAGTCTGTTGTCAACAGCAGCCCAGGGTGGCCCCTGAACATTAAGATGTCAGGGATCTTGTCTGTATAGAACTGCAAGGGGTGGTTTTTTACAAAACAAAACAGCCCCTGGTTTCATCAGGTGTCATAGATGTCTATTTCTGTTGTTAGTAAGTGCCATCAAGTCAGTACCAACTCATAGCAACCCTGTCTGGGGAGCAGCTGGTGGATTTGAACAACCAACTTTGCAGTTCCAGCAGACGTTGCACTTGAGAGCTTACCTACAGTACCACATCAGGACTCCAGATTTCTATTGGCTATCTGTTTCTTTTCTGTAAACCCAAAGTGAGAGTGAGCTTACCTTATTGGATGGTTCTTCCCCCCCCCCCCCCAAAATACATTAGCTTTGGTAGATGCTCAGGAAATAACTTACAATTGAAAAGATGAGGAAATAACTTACAAATGATAAGATGCTTGATAATGAACTGTAGTTGTTGTTCAGTGCTTTCAAGTCAGTTCTGACCCATAGTGACCCTGTATAGGGTTTCTGAGGAGCAGCTGGTGAGCTTGAACCACTGATCATGCAGTTCCAACGGCATTGCAGCCTGGCGCATTAACCCACAGCGCCACACCAGACAATGTAAATTCATCAAAAAATAAAAATTATGTTTACAGATACGCACTTGGAAGTCTTGTTTATCCGGCCTATCCAACACTGCCCACACCCAGTCTGCATCCCAATAGGTTGGCAGTTTTATTTGCTTATTGAGTGCTATTTTAACATTCACTTAGGCAAATCTAACTAGTTTTCTTCTCTCTCTTACTAAAAGGCTGTCGACATAGCACACCCTGTGTGTGCGCCTTCCTCTCTGTAACTTAGTTTATTCTGGAGCTTTCTCTAGCTGCACTGAAGCACATCCTCGTGCTCACTCACTAACCGCTTTGTATCTCAGCTTGTGGACATTTGGTTGGTTGGGCTTTGTGTTTAATCAGTGTGGTCTTCCGGTGTTTGCTGTTCCATGCATTCGTGAGTAGCCTTAGGCCTGTGTCACCTTGTAGACAGCAGAGGTACCTGTAGAACTGACAACCACCAGAGTCAACAGCACCTAGGGGTGGGTGGGCGATTCGTTATGTTTAAATACAAGTCTTGTATCAAATACATGATTTTCTGCTACTCTGTAGCTTGTCTGTTAATTTTTGATTGATGTCTTTTGGAAAAGCAAATGCTTTTTAGTGTGATGCATACCAGGTTAACTGAAAAAATGTTACCGATGGTGTTTGTCTTAAGTCATATATCAGAAAACGTTGCCTAACCTCAAATTCTTGTTTTCGTCTAGCAGTTTTAGAATTTTAGGTCTTGTTGTTACGTGCCATGGAGTCGGTACTGACTCAGAGTGACCTTATTCACAGCAGAACGAAAGACTGCCCTATCTTGGGCCAACCTCACTACTGTTGCCATGCTTGAGTCCATCAATGCTGCCACTTGGCCAGTCCATCTCGTTGGGGGTCTTCCTCTTTTTCTCTGACCCTCCACCTTACCAAACATGATATCCTTCTCCAGTGACTGGTCCCTCCTGACAATATTTCCGAAGCATGAGAGATGAAGTTTGGTCATGGTGGCCTCCAAGGAGCACTCTGGCTGCATGTCTTCCAAAACGGATCTTTTGGCAGCCCATGACACTTTCAGTATTCTCCTCCAACACCAGAACTCAAAAGCATCAGTTCTTCTACCGTCTTCCTTATTCACTGTCCAGCTTTCGCATGCATACGAGGTTATTGAAAATACCATGGCTTGGGTCAGGCGCACCTTAGTCCTCAAGCTGACATCTTTGCTCTTCAACACTTTAAAAAGATCTTGTGCAGCAGATTTGCATAATGCAATATGTCATTTGATTTCTTGACTGCTGCTTCCATGAGTGTTGATAGTTGATCCAAGAAGAATGAATTCCTTGACAACTTCAATCTTTTCTCTGTTGATGAGAATGTTTTTTATTGGTCCTGTGGTGAGGATTTTTGTTTTCTTTACATTGAGATGTAATCCATACCGAAGGCTGTGCTCTTTGATCTTCATTAGTAAATGTTTTAAGTCCTCTTCACTTTCAGCAGGCAAGGTAGTATAATCTGCATATTGCAGGTTGTTAATGAGTCTTCCTCCAATCCTGATGCTATGTTTTTCTTCATAGAATCCAGCTTCTCGGATGATTTGCTCAGCATACAGGTTGAAAAGTATGGTAAAAGAATACAACCTTGTCACACACCTTTCTTAATTTTAAACCGTTTGGTGTTCCCATGTTCTGTTCAAACCACTGCCTCTTGGTCCAGATATAGATTCCTCATGAGCACAATTTAAGTGTTCAGGAATATTCATACTTTGCAATGTTGTCCATAGCTTGCCATGATCCACACAATCAAAAGACTTTGCGTAGTGAATAAAGCACAGTTAAACATCTTTCTGATATTCTCTGCTTTCAGCCAAGATCCATCAGACATCAGCTCTTATACATTTATTTTAGCTCTGACACATTGGCAATTTTTGTTTTTTTGTTGTGAGGTTATAGTTGAAATTCATCTTGTTGGCATGTGAATATCTGTGATACCATGCTTTGCTGTAAATAATCTTCCCCTCCATAGAATGATCTTGGTTCTTTGTTGGAAACCGGTTGACAGAATTTATGGCTGGACTCTCTGTTGACTTCATCTGATCTCTATATCTGTCCTCACACCCAGCCATACCTTCTTGATGACTTCTTCTTTCTGTTGTTGTTAGGTACCATTGAGTCAGCATTGACTCATAGCGACCCTATGCACAACAGAATGAAACACTACCTGGTCCGGGGCCAACCTCACAATCACTGTTACACTTGAGCCCATTGATGATGCCGCTGTGCCATTCCATCTTGTTGGGTGTCTCCTCTTTTTTTTTTCTTTATAGTGAGCTTTAAAATTGAACAAGTTATGTCTTCCAGCTTGGTCTCCTTTCTTAAATGGGTCTTCTGCATTTTCTTAAATGGTCCTCTGCATTTTCATATAAATTTAGAATCACCTTGTCAATTCCTACCACCACCACCCTGCCCCCCAACCCCCGCCCCACACACAAAAAGCCTGGTTTGATTTTCATAGGAATTGTAATGACATAAATATTTTATGTAATTCACCAGTGAAGTTGTGTGAAGATGTAGATCAATTCGGAGGAAAGCAGTCTTAACTATGTTGCATCTTCCACTTTATAAACATGTTGCATCTTTCCATTATTTAAATCATATTTAATTTCTTTCAGCATATTTAAAAAGTCTTCAGAGTAGTTTGAATTTTTTTTTTTTAGTTTATTCTTAAATACTACACTTAAAATTTTTTTATAGTGGATGGTATTTTAAAACCATTTCAAATTTTAGTTGATTACTGACTTTAAGGATTCCTGGTGCAGCACTGTGGGATAAAGCTCTGGACCACAAAGTCGGTTTGAGCCATAAGATCGGCAGTTCAGACTCACCAGCTGCTCCTTGGAAACCCTATACAGGGTTGCTATGAGTCAGAACCGACTCAACGGCATTTGACAACAGAATTGCTATTATGTAGAAATGCAATTGATTTTTTTTTTTTTTAATGCTATACAACCTTGCTCAACTTATTTACTAATTTTAATACGTTTATTCCTTGCTTTTCTCTTTTGTTAGATGTATGAGTGTTCTACATATAGGCTTATGTTGTCTACAAATAAAGTTAGGTTTACATCTTTCTTCCCAGTCTGGATGTCTGTAATTTGTAATTCGTGCTTTACTGAGTTTGACTAGAACCTCCATCATAGTAGTGAATTAAGTATTACAAGCAGACATGCCTGCCTTGTTTCCAATCTGAGCGGGAAAGCATTTAGGGTTTGACACTAAGTGTGATGCAGACTGTGTGCAGGCCTTTTCATAGATGCCGTTTATCAAGTTGAGGAGATTGTCTCCAATTCTAGTTTGTTTCAGAGTTTTATCACGAATGGGTATTAGTCTTTTAAGTGCTTTTTCTTCATCTGTTGGGTGGTCTTCATAGTTTTTGTACTTCAGTCTATTACTATAGTTATTGTTGTTGATATGTACGGTGAAGTCGGTTCTGACTCATAGTGATCCTGCATAGGGTTTCCGAGGCTGTAAATCTTTACAGGATCAGAAAGCCTCATCTTTGTCGCGTGGAACATCTGGTAGTTTCAAACTGCTGACCGTGAGATTAGCAGCCTGATTCATACCAACTACGCAACCAGAGCTCCTGTTACTATAGTATATAACATTAATTGATTTTTGGATATTAAAACAATGTTGCTTTCCTGGGATAAATTCTACTTGACCGTGATGTGTATACATTACTGGATTGCTTGGCTAACGTATATTGCTGTCCTGGCTTTGGCATCAAGGTCAAACTGGCTTCATAGCATGAGTTGGGAAGTAGTTCTTCCTCCTATATTTTCTGTAGCGGTGTATGTGGAATTGGTATTATTTCTTAAATACTTTTTGATTCATGCATTTTGGGGGCTATGTTGTTAAAATATATTTATCTTTGTTAAATCTCCTTGACATATTGATACTTCAATATGAAACAATATGAAACTTCTCTAGTTATGATTCTTTATGTTCATTTTATCGGGTGTTAATATAGCCACTCCAGCTGTCTTACAATTACTGTATGCACGGTACTTTTTTATCCTTTTACTTTTAACCTATTTATATCTTCAAATCTAAAATTTATCTCTGAACCCAAAATAGATCTAAATTGGTAATCTCTGCCTTTTGTGAAGTACATATTCCATTTCCATTTCATGAGATTATTGAGTGTGGTGATACTTTTACCTTTGCCTTCTTGCAATTACTTTATCATATCTTCGTTGTTCCTCTAGCCATATTTTACATTCTTCTTTTGTACTAAATTTATTTTAACGTATCCGTTTACTATCACTGTTCTTTTTAAGTTACTTTCTGTTCTAGAGATTATAGTATATAATTTATCATTATCAACTTCAGATTAATATTGGCATGATTTCAGTACAATGTTGAAGCTTTGCTCCAATTTAGCTCCATTTCTTTCGATATTATTATTGTCCTTGTTGTATTTGTATATATCACACAATAATAACACTAATGATACAGTTATTATTTATAGAGTTTTATGGTTTCCCAAGAAAAGGAAAAACATTTCTAGTCTTTGATATTTCCTAACTTACGTACCATTTATGGAGTTTTTCATACTTCCTTTTCAAGTCTGGCGTCATTTCTCATCAGCCTAAAAGACACCGGGTAATATATCTCTCATAGGGATAGTGTGCTAGCAGTGAATTCTCTAGATTTTTAGCTGGCTACGTCTTTTATTTTGCCTTCGTTTTAAAAGGGTGGTTGTATTGGAGATGGAATTCTTTCTTAGCTGACATTTTTTTCCCTTTCAGCATTTCCAACATGACATCCCACTGTCTTCTGCTATCCATTGCGTTAGATGAGTTAGCTGTTAATTGTATTTTTGTTTCTCTGATCACGATGAGTCATTTTCTGTTGCTGCTTTCAGCATCTTCTCTTTGTCTTTCAGCAGTTTCATCGAGCTGTGTCTAGGCGTGTATATCTTTACTGTATGTATCTCTTAGGGTTCATTGAGCTTTTGGGATCTGTAGATTAATGTTTTTCATCCGATTTGTGAGGTGCCATTTTCAGGCATTATTTCTTCTTGTGCTTTTCTTTCGCCATTTTTTTCTACTTTCCTTCTGGGTCTTCCCTGCATTGTGTGTTGGTACTTTTGATTTTCACCCACAGGTCTCTGAACCTCTGTGGACTTTCCTTTATTCTAGTGTCTTTTTGTTCCTCATATTGGATCGTGTGTTCAAATTCAAAATCTTTTCCTGCCATGTCTAATCTTCTATTGAGGCCTTCTAGTAAAATTTTCATTTTGGTTATGGATTTTTCTCTGGTATTTATATTTAGCTCATTTTACACTTTCTCTATTGATGTAGTCTATCTGTTCCATTATTGTCCTCCTATTTTCCTTTACTTCTGGGAACTTAATGTCCTTCAAGTCTTTTAAAATAAAAGAGGAAGACCCCCAACGAGATGGATTTGCCAAGTGGTAGCATTGATTGACTCAAGCGTGGCAACTGTAGTATGTTGGCCCAGGACCGGGCAGTGTTTTGTTCTGCTGTGCATGAGGTCGCTGTGGGTCGGTACCGACTCAATGGCACCTAACAACAACAATAGCCGCTTGGAAATCTCAAGTGTGCTGAATCCAGTATCTGGATTTACTCAGTCCGTTTCTGTTGACTTTTTATTTCAGCTCTTTTAGTGTGTAAGGGGCACACTTTCCTGTTTATTTTTATGTGTCTTGTTTTCGGAAACTGGACATTTTCGGTAATGTAGTAGCAAGCTTACATTCTGGTATTTCTCTCTGAAGGTTGTGTTTGTTGTTTTCAGGAACTTAATGGAAGAGTCTGTATATCTTCTTGTTTTATCCCACATGCTTTACAGCCACTGATGTCTCCGCTCAGGCTTTTTCTTCTCTGGTTTTTAAGATTGACTTTCTAAAGGTCATCCCTGTGTCTTCATAGTTTCTTGGGCAGCCAGTCATTGGAGCAGAGATTTGATCGCACACCTTAGCTTCACTGGACCGCTGCCTTTTGCTCATGCATATGCATGTGGGTTGGGAAATGCACTGAGCGTCAGCCTTAGTGCTAATTCTCCTCTGGGTTCTCTGGGCTCCCCTGCACATGTGCTGTGGTCTCCTCATCAGTCCCGGATTTGTACAGTGCTGTGTTGCTCTGCCATTGTGCTCTCAATTCCAGAGCCTTCCGTTGGATTGCTCTATGGTCTGCCACTCAACCACTGCAGCCAAGACCTCAGCCTACAGCTACCGGAGCTGCGATATGACTCTTCTTGAAAGTGGTGTGGTGGGCTGTGGCTCTCTGCGAAAATCAAGCCCACCCTCTCTTTCAGCTCGTTGCTCTGGTGGAACGGCTATTTCTCTTATGAAACCGGAGAGTGGGGGACCTCAGGCTGGAAATAGCTCTAGGCAGGCAGGCCTGCCGACACCTGTTGTTCTCACGTGAAGTTCTAGCAGGATAGCGTGTATAAGTGCTTCTCAGTATTTGCCTCTGATTGATGTCCAGAGTTTCCAGATGGTTGTTCAGGGAAATTTTGTGCAGCTTGGCATTTGTTTCATGGGGTGAGGATTCACCAGTCTCTTCACCCCACCACAGTTGGGAGTGCTGCCTCTGATACACTGGGCAGATCTCAGTGTAGCAGGAGGGAGCGCTGTGATCCTTGTGGAGTGTAACCATCGGGTGATTTTGTCATTCTGGGTCACGGCTCTCCTTCACTCTGCTCTCTCCTATTCTTCAGGCATAGGACACAGACTCGTATGGCTTCCATGTCAATGAATACCCCATAGGGGCCACAGTGCTCCTTTCCACCCTCTATCCCACTTGATTCCTCTCCAGGAGGGACCTGGTTTGTCAAGAGATGAGGGCAGGCCCTGTTAACCTTTGTGTTTGCTATCTTAACTGCTGCAGAGATGGGGCCAGCATTACTTACCTAAGCAGGTCCTGTTTTTTACCTTCCTTTTAGGTGGAGCAAGCTCAGAACACTTGTGAATGTCACGTCTGTAAACAAGAAGTCTCTGGGCTGACAGCGTCCGCCACCACTGCAGGCGCTCTTCCTCCCGGCCACCAGTTTCTGAGCCCCGAGAAGCCCACACACCCTGCACTTCACCTCTACCCCCACATCCATGGACACGTACCTTTGCATACCATCCCACACCTGCCTCGTCCTCTTATCCACCCCACCTTGTATGCTGCTCCCCCCTTCACGCACAGTAAGGTAAGTTGGGGGTCACAGAGGGCCTGACTGTCGTGCTTCACATAGATCTTGGGGGGGGCGGTGTACATAAAAAGACGAGTCTGTAAATTGGCCACGTGGGTAGGACAGATTTGCTCTTGGTAGGAAGGTCTGCAAACGTTTTCTTCTACCATAATCTCTTAAGATCCTGGAACTACAACTTTTAGAGCTGTAATCCCAATCACTGAAAACAATAACAAATGTCATGACAGAGGTATTCAGAAACAATGAGATGGTAAAGAGTTTTCCAGGTGATTCTGGTGATAACAGGGTACTTCGCGCACATGGCTTCTGCCCATCCCCGTTCTCACAACTCCTGGTCCCAGTGGCTGAGTTCTTGGTCTTTATGTGGTGAGCACACTGTCTGGGTTCTGCAGGGCCGTAAGTGTGAAAACACAGGGCTTCAGAAACACACGGGCTGCAATTGGAACGTCCAAATCCCTCAGACTGTGTCTGGAGCTTGAAAGGCATGAGCAGATTTCGCACAGCACAACCTTGACCTGACCCTGTGTGGACCATTCTCAGAGCAGTGAGACTCGGGGCGGGCAGCAGGGGGCTTTACAGAGAGGCCTTTTCAGAAAGTGATGTTTGGATCAAGAAAGCACTGCTTGGTTTTTGCATGGTTCTTCTCAGAGAACCCCTGTGTGTGTATCATAGCTTCGGCTTCACAGCAAATTTCCTTTTTGTGCCTTAGATAACTTTGCTTCGCTATCTGTTTTCAACTAACTTTTGTTGATTTATCATAAATTGTGATTGTTGTATTTTTCTTTCTATCAGTTGATTTTGCTTCATAGTTTGTGGCAATTGATCAAAGTAGCAATTCCCCCAACTGCTTATTTTATTGTTTATACCAGTGATTCTCAACTTGACAAGAAAGGGAAAACATTGCATGGAATGGAAGAAGTAGTGTTGGGAATGAGCTCCTGGTACCAGAGGGAGTCTGGGAAGCATACCTGCAGTGAGGGCGGAGGCCGGTGGGAGATGGCTAGCCCCGGGGCTAGAATAGAACGTAATCTGTCACATTTGTTTATTAGGAGGAATGAGTAATTCTCCTGACTTACACTCACATTTTGTCTGATTGAATATTGCTGGCTCTGACCATCAGTGATAACTGTTATGAGAACACCTGTCAAGTATGGTCAGGGTCTGCTGGATCTCTGGGCACTGTGTCCCTTTGTTGCTGTTGGTTTTAAGTGCCGTCCATTCGGTCCCTGTATGAGGTTTTCGGGGAGTGGAACCACCAACCTTCCAGTTAGCAGTTCAGTGCTTATCCTGTAGCTCTACATCAGGAGTACTGGAGCTGTGAACCTCAGATGTTGCCCTTGCCTTATTCTTAATTGAGTAGAGCTCTGTTTTCTAATCCAAAGGAACTGCGTCGAACAATCGTAGGAAGTTTTGTTTTGCCTTTTTCCTTGTTATAAACTATTCAAGAATTTGTTTCTTAAAAATCTGTAAATTAAAATATTAGAAATTTGATTATTCCTGAAGACTGTTAGAACACTATAGTCTACTTAAAAAGAGATTCTTTCATCAGATATTTGGTCTTTTCTCAGGAGATAATGGGTATAGCACTGTGGGCTTATGTGCTGGACTGCAAAGTCATTTGAACCACAAGGTCAGTGGTTCAAGCTCACCATCCGCTCCTTGGAAACCCTATACAGGGTCGCTATGGGTTAGAAACATCTCAACAGCACTTAAGAACAAGTACATAAGGGTAATGAAAGCAGTATTCTCAGGAGCATCATTTGTATCTAGTATCTATTTGTTTTATACCTGCCAACCTATTACCCATAGATACATGTGAATGACTCATAGGTAGGAAGGCAAATACAGAGCCCAAGCCACATGCAATAGAGGTAATATAGAGCCTTCATGTCCCATCTTCGGTCATCAAGTCGATTGACACGCATAGTGACGCCATGCAGGGTTCCTGAGACTTAGGTCTTCACTGCAGCTGCCACTTCTTTCTCCCACATAGTGGCTGGTGAATTTCAATAGGTGACCTCTCGTTAGCAGCTCGATGCCTAACCTAAATTGTCACCAAAAGCAACAAAAGCAAACTCACTGTCACGAAGTCATTCCTGACTCATAACAACCCCATCTGTAAACCTTCATGGGAGCAAATAGCCTCGTCTTGCAGAGGCTATTGGATGAGAACTACCAACCTTGAGGCGAACAGCCTAGTGTCTAACCCACACCACCAGCAGAGCTTCTTAGGGCTTTAGCATTTTTAAACCTGGTATGGCACCGTAGGATAAACGCTTGACTGCGAACCACAAGGTTGGCAGTTCAAACCCAACCCTCTGCTCCTTGGAAACCCTATACAGGGTCGCTATGAGCTGGAACTGACTTGAGTGTACTTCACAATAACAACACCAAACCTTGTTTAGACCACTTTGCTGTTAATGTTAAGAATGCTCATGGAGTCATTTAAAATGCATTAGCTGGGTGACATTTTTACTTGAAAAGGTGATATTCACTTGGTAAAATTCTTATGAGATCCTACAACAATGTGTTTGTGTTACTTCAGTTCGTTGAAATACTTGGCAGTGTCGGTACCTGGTGACATAGAGCGTGTCAACATGCAGCCTAGGGGTTGGTAGAGCCCCTTCCAGAGAACGGATGTGCTATGTTAGAATGGAGCAGACTCACGGGACAGGAGTTACGGGAATTGTTTTCAGTGTAAGGCTCTGGGTTGAGGTCAGCTCACAGGTGGCAGGCTGAGTGAATATGGAGGTAAGCACGCACTGACTGACGTACCTTTGACCTGCCTCAGTCTGTCTGCAGCCTTTGTGTACTGTCAGAGTTCTGTAGAGAAATACTGTTCTGCTGAAATCTCACTTCTCTCCTGTAGGGGGTCACTTTTCATTCACTTTAGCCACTGCGGGACACAAATGTATATAATGCCTAAAATGCGCTATTTTCTTGAAATTAAGGACTTCTTATTTTCTAATGTCTTAACTACCAATGTTGCTTTTAAATTAAATGTTAATAAATTTTTTTTAAAGCTTAATACAGTTGTAGAAGAGTACAATAATGACTTAATAGGAAAAAAAAAAAAGAACTCTAATAGAATTGAATTTATAAAAATATTTGAGGATTTCCCCCGCCCAGCTATCTTTGTGTTATTTCTAGGGTTTCCATTGTCCATAAACATACTTGGTGTGATTTTTTTTAAGATATATACATATATTTTTTTAATTAATTAATTTATTATTATTATTTTTTAAATTGATAAGTTGTACCTACTGGCCTAGAATGCAGTTTGTCTTGGCCAGTGTTCCATGTGAACTTTAGAAAAGTGTATTATCTGCTTTTGTTCCGTGGAGTAATTTTCTGATTGTTGATCAATCACTGACGGGGTTGAAGTCTCCCACTACAGTAGTGGGTGCATTCGTTCATTTCTCCTTTCCATTCTATTCTATCTCTTTTTGCCTCAAGTATTTGGGTGCTCTGTTGCTAGTGCATGGATACATACATGTTTGAGATTTTATGTCTTCCTAGAGAATTGACCTCTTTCTCATGATGTGATGCCTGTCTTTATTCCTGATGATATTTCTTCCTTTGAAATCTGCTTCATTTGAAATTACATAACTAACTGTTCCAGCTTTCCTTTGATTGGTGGTGATGATTGTGTGTTGTGGAGTCTGTTCTGACTCATAGCAACCCTGTAAAGGATTTCCAAAGCTGTATCTCTTTACGGGAGCAAAAAGCCTCATCTTTCTCCTGCGGAGCTACTGGCACATTTGAACTGCTGACTTTGTGGTTAGCAGCCCAGCTCCTTTTCCTTTGATTAGTAAAGCTGATTTTATATGTAAAGTGACTTTCTTGTAGGCAGTATCATATATGTTGGGTTTTTCTTTTTATCCTCTCTGATAGCCTGTCTTGTAATTGGTGTATTTAGATCATTCAGATCTAAATGAATATAGTTGGATTAATATATACCAGATATGTAACTGTTTTCTACCCATTCTTCTTCTTCTTTGTCTTTTTTCAATCTTTCATTCTTTCTATTATGCCTTCTCCACTTTCAGTTGAGCATTTTTTTCCTCTTACCTTATTAGTTATACTTACTTTAAAAAGTGGCTTTAGTGGTTTGCTTTAGAGTTGCAGTCCTGGTGTGTCACTGAAGGACTAGCTCTGGACTGTTAACCTCAAGGTTGGCAGTTCAAACCCACCAGCTGTTCCTTGGAAACCGTATACAGGTTCGCTATGAGTCTGAACCGACTTGACGGCACTTAACAACAACTCTAGAGTTTGCATTATGTATTCTAAACTCACTCAGTTCATCTTCAAATAACACTGCATTTGTCACGTAATATACTTTATAAGAATCTTCCCAACTCCTCCTACCTGTCTCGTGTGACATTATAATTTGTGCGTTTCCACATGCTATAATCACATAATTTGTTAAGCGACACTTGCATAGACTTCCAAGGAGCAGCTGGTGGGTTTGAACTATTGACTGTGTGATACGAAGTCCATCACTGATCCTACAAGCGCCACACCAGGAGTCTGATCCCATAATATGCTTTTACTATTATTGTTATTTACACAATCATTTTTTAGGTCAGTTAATAAGAAAAGTTATTTTACTTAATCATGCTTTTGAAGAATACTTTCACTGTATACGGAATTCTAGGTCCATTTTCTGTAAGCTGTCCTCCTTACTCTTCATACTTAACGTGTTCTTAACGAGATAGCTGCTGTAATTCTCTTCCCTGCGCCATTGTAAGGAAGGTGGTTTTTCCTATGAATGTCGCATTCAACATTTTCTCCCTTTTTTTTTTTTTAATTTCTGCAGTTGAATATTTACCGAGTTATCATTTTTTGGAATTTATTTTAATTGGTGTTATCTGAAGTTCCTGTTAGGCATTTGTTGTTAGTTTTGGAAATATTTTTCTGTTCAGTTCTTTTTTTCCCCTCCTGGTATTCCAGTTACACATTTATTACTCCTTTTGAAATTGTCCAATAGTTTTTAG